ACGGACTCGGTCTGCGTTTCCCGGAACGTCTCCTTGTCCACAGCTCTGGAAGGAACCGCAGTGACCATGTTTCCTTAAACACTCCGTTTGCACCTGTTTGGGTCTGTGAGCCATTCTTATAAGAGGGCTGGGGGTGAAAGCTTCCTTCAGCGACTGTCATGCTGCTGTTTGGAAGGGACAGGTCATTGTCCTGGAAGCAAGCATCTCCGCAACGTCAAAGCCTCAGAGTTCTTCACGTCCTGCCTGTTCCATAGTAACATCTACTTCTTACCTGCCCCCCACTGGCGCCCCACTGCAAAGCGCTCAGGAAGACACCACGATGGCCTTGAACACTGTTGCATCCAGTGCCTGGGACATGGGGGACCCCACTAACTGTTGTGTAGAGAAATGGGGGCCAGACGAGTGACCTCGTGAGGAAGCCCAGACCCTAGCTTTCCCCATTTTCTAGAGGAATCCAGTCTTTCTTCCAACTCAGAAGCTGAGAGCTGTTCAGCTCTACCTCCTGTTGTAAGTCAGAGGGTCTGGGGATGCCTGCATCCTTGTAGCCAAACAGCACATGCTCTCATCCACCATTTATGTAAAGGTAGGTGGAGGGCACATTTCCAAATGCTTGGCCTGGGCGAACCTGTTCGTCAGGTGCCGTTCGGCGGTGACCGTGTTGACGATGTTGTCGCCAGCCGACGCTGACATAGATGGTCTCACGTAACCCTCGCAACAATTGTGAGGCCATCGTTATTATAACCCCGGCCTGCCTCGGGGAACTGAGGCGCAGAGAGGTCGTTTGCCCGAGTTCCCGTGGCCTGGACCTGAAGAAGGTGCTCAACTCCAGGGCCAGGGGTCGGAGCAGGCTCTGCAGCCTCCTGCCCGAGTGGCCCATGCCCCAGGGTCCCTCCTGTGCATCGTCACTCCCTTCCACCGCCGTGGTGTGTGTTATGTGGACGTGCTGATTGAAGGGGCTGCCGGGTCGGAGGTTCCCATGAACGAATCCGAATGGAGGGAGCTGTTTCTCACTCCCCAGCGTCGGCTCCGCCCCCGGCTGTGCGGCTCACTGTGGAAGCGGCTGTGGTTCTCCGGTGCCCTCTCGTTCACACTCATGCCCGGCCCCCGAGTCCTTTGGTCTCCAATGGGTAACAAGAGCCGCACGTCAGAGGGTTTTGCTCGCAGCGTCCCCCTGGCCCATCTTCCAGGACCTGGAGTGCATGTGACCTGCCCAAGGAGGCTCTGCCTACCACCCAGGCTGGTCACGGAGCCTCACGCCTCCCTCTGCCTGCTCCGTGCAAGGTCCACCCATCTCCCCGGAAACCATCGTCCATCCTCCTGTTAGACCAACGGCCTCTCAGGGGCAAACAGTGTCGTCCATGCTGGAGCCCTCGTGTGTGTGTGTGTGTGTGTGTGTGTGTGTGTGTGAGCATTTGACGCTCAATAAATACCACACGTGCAAGTGTGATCATTCAGAATTATTCTGAAAAGCCCTCTCCCTGAAGTGGTTAGACGTGTGTGTGTGTGTGTGTGTGTGTGGAGAGAACACAAGCCTGTGCTCGATACTTGCTGGTCTGCTGCGGCCCCCGTCTCGGGTTCCCTGCAGAACTGACCCTATACTGAAAGCCCACTAGAAGGTCTAAGGGGAGAGACAAGGACCAGATTTGCAGGAGAGACTTCAGAATTCACAACAGGAGAGTCATTGGAGATGCTGCCTCTACACCTTCCTCTGTATCTGTTGAAAGAACTCAATACCTTTCAGCATTAAGATCACAAAAGCTTAGAACTCTGCCTCTTTAACACACCGTAGAGAACCTCTCCAGCTTCAAAAGTAGGCCCTGTTGGAATGGTCACAGCACCCCAGGGCAGTGTCGGTCGGCCCCAGAGACAGACATCTCACTTAACTCTGCCGATACGTCTGAGTTTATGATCTCGAACGGGCCTCTCGGGGCTGGGGGTGATTATCACCCGGTCCTTCACACGCTGCACAATTAATCCCGTTATCCGATGGCCAGTCCGCCTCCCCCCGTCCTGTCCATTATCCCTGCCCTCAGCTGAGAAGACGTTGATGTCAGTGGATTCAGAAAAGCGCCCTGTGGGACAGCAGAGCAAGGCCCTGCTCTGGGATTCTGGGTTGTCTCTTAGTCGCCATGGCACCAAGAGCCACTCACTTCCCCTCTCAGGGCCCGGTCCGCTTTTGTAAATTTATATCAGGGATTTCAATTTCCCTGAAGGTTTGGGGGACCGGATGTGAGGACTAGCCAGACACTGGAGTCGGGACACGCGCCTTCCCCGCTTCCACGAGAGGGTCACTGCTGTGTGTTTTGTTCATTTCTTACGTGTCCCTGGGTGCCTGCCCATCGGTTCTTGATCACCGTGACATGTCAGACCATCGCGACAGGAGTCCAGCCTGTCTGCCTGGCCTCATCTGTCTCTCTCTCTCCTGGCTCGTTTACCTTCGATGGGCAGAGTGATTGTTTCCCTGCACTTGATTTATTTGTTCACTCTGAGTCTTTGTTTATGAAAGGTCCCGTGCTTGGCCTGCCCGCTCTCCATCCCTTCTTCAAATATTCACCTGTGGCGCCGCCTCTTCCAAGAAGCCTTCCTTGCCTACACCACCACACATGCCAAGCATCCTAAGGCTTCTTCCAATGTATCACCACATTTCAGCACAATTACGTGTTTGTGTCTCTGGTTCCTTCAACTTCAAAATATTTTCCTCCGGGGAATGGGGGTTGGGGATGGGGAGAGTGTATGTTAATCTCTGGAGCTCACATGTTTAGCAAATAGGAAGCCCCAAATACAGAGCAGTTAGGAGCATGATAAATGGAACTCCACTGGCCCCATGCCTTGCTGAAGAACATAAAGAAGCCCCATGGGACTCCCAATCATACTTGTCACGTGAAAATCTCGCTCTCTAAAGTCAAACTGATCAGCAGTGACAATGCATGCATTTACCCAAAATGCATCATAGGCATTAAGGTAACTCAGAGGATAGTGATGAATCGTTCAGAGTTAACATGTCATAACGAGTTATTGCTTTTTAAGGTTTAAATAGGTCCGAGTCTGTCGGGGATGTAGGGATTGACCGATCCGCTAAAGAAAATGCGACCACTTAGGTGTATCAGTGGAAGGATTCACAGGAAATTCCTACTGATCATAAACACAAGACTGAAGGACTGCGTGTTTATTGTGCTAATGCAAAGTTTTACTCTTTTTTTTTTTACTCTCTTCCTTGCCCAGTGAGGGCCGTTCAGGCCTTGTCCATGGTGCTGAAGCTGGTGAGCAGCACAGGCTGAACTTGACCCCCAGACCCCAGGTTACTCCTGTAATTCCAAGCCCACAGAAGTTTTAGGGGACTCTCTTGCTTTGCTCCACAGACTTGAAGTTAGTCAGATGAGTCTTGCAGTGGTTTTTGAGCAGCTGAATCATACTGAGTAAGCTTTACGAAGACGCCCTAACATTTTCTTTGTCTCTTGAAAAATCCATGATGTCTGGTCTTGACAGTGAAACATGACCACAGACGTCGTAGGTCCTGGGCCTCTCCGGTGGGTCCTGGAGCACTTCCTGAAGGAGACAGTGGCGGCAAGAAGATGCAGGTGTGAGCAGGGCCAGAAACAGGAGGTCCGGGGATGCTGCAAGCCAACGGACTAGGGACCCGTAGCTAGTGGAGCTGAAGGCTTCATTAATCCGATGTCTGCTTTGATTTCTGCTTAGTCACAGCTCACGGAGGCGCTGCAGGACTTAGATTAATGCCTCCCTCCAAGCCTGCAGACCTAGCTGAGCAGCTGTCTGGTGCCGGGCTCGGTTTCCAGAGGCCCACGCCGCGTACTGAGCACCTCGGCTTGGGAACCATCTCTGCTGTGGACGGAGCCCAGTGACCTTGCCAGAGTCATTCGATTCTCAGAGCCACCGTCTTCTTATCTGGGAGATGGGGATAGCGTTCCTATCATTCATTGTTTCGTCTGATGAGGAAGAACTTCAAGGCATGATAAGTGATAAAAAGCAAGGAACAGAGCAATGTCCAGAGCATTAGCTGACATGTCTGTGTGTTTTCAGGACATACCTGCATATTGTTAAGTACATGTACACACATATGTGTGCATATGCATAGGGACATATTCTAGAAGGCTCTACAAGAAAGTGTTGATTCTGGGGGATGAGGACTCTGTGTTGCATTTCCTTGGTAATGTGGAGGTTTCTGCCTATTCCTATTTCATTCTGAAGATGAGAACTGGCGTCTCCGCCTTACATGGTGCTTGTTGATGATCAGATGGGATAGAGCCTCACAAACAGGCAATTCCTCCTTCTCCTTAGACCCGGGGCCAGCTCGCACCCTGCGTTGCACATGCTCTGTTAGTTTTTCTGCAACTGTGCTGACTTTGTTCCTAACACATCGGGAAGATGGGAAGTCGGAATGTGTGGCTCACCCGTGCCTGGTGAACTCACGTCCTCGCGACGGAATCTGGTGCTTGTGAAATGGGAAAGTCTTTTGATGCGAGACCCTGTTGAATGTGTCTCTTAGGTACCAGCCAGAAGGGACCTCAGACCACAGAGCCGGGTTCATGTGAGGCCCTGTGTTCACGCTCAGAGCCGCCTCCAGAATGCCCTCCCAACAGGACGCCGTCCCCTCAGGGTCTCTTCCTAACTTACCAGATGCGTTTTTCTCCTTTTCAGCACGAGGTACTATCCACCCACATGCTAGGAGGCTCTTGCTAAGTTCCTCAGCTCCCTGTGAACAGGAACGCACCTCTGTCTGTCCCCATGGTGTCTTCTTACAGGGACACCTGTGAGTGGCTTCCATGAACCTGTGAGGTCGGTGCTGTCGTCATCGTCATCATCCTCTGTTATTAGCAGTATGACTATGATTGTTACTGCTTTATGGGAGCGTGGTAAACGGAGGCTTGGCTCATCTCGGTGTTTCTCGCACACAGGGAGAGGGAAAAGACTCACCCCCTTTCCGCTTTCCTCAGGACCAGGCTGCGGGCACAGGCACTCACTGTGGCTTCTGTCCCCAGCAGGGGAACTTCTACGCACCCTCCGAGAACTGCATGCAGCGCGCTTACAAGTGGCACCGGGGGCTGTGCCTCCTGCTGCTCCGTGCCTACCGGGGACTCCGCGCCTACTTCCTGCTCATCATGAGGGATGTCCCCGAGCTGCCGCACCTGGAGCTGGGTAAGGGCCGCACAGGCACACTCACCCGCAGGCCCCGCCTCTGAGGACGGGCGTAAGCATGCTTCTAACCTCCAAGCAGAGAGCCCTCCCAGGTCGGTATTTCGGTACCGCATGTCGTTCCGGCAGGAGAGTGCTGGACGTGCCAGAGCAGGAAGAAAAGACACAAGCAACTCAAGGAGCATCCATCCCTCCATCCCTCCATCCATCCATCCATCCATCCATCCATCCAACAAGCATAGATCACCTACTCCGTACCTGACACTTCTGGGCCCTAATGTTAAGTTGCTCCCTAAGGAAAAGGGCTGGTCTCCACTAGGCGGTACCTGCAGCTTACAGAGTTTAGAAGAACCCTAAGAAATACCTCCATAACCAGAAGGTGTGTACCTTCTTTTAAAAAAATTGTCTTTATTGATTTTAGAGAGGAAATGGGAGAGAGAGATAGAGACATCGATGAGAGAGAACATCGACTGGCCGCCTCCTGCATGCCCCCCACTGGGGATGTGCCCTGACCGGGAACCACACCGGCGACCTCTTGGTGCAGGGGTTGACGCTCAACCACTGAGCCACACCAGCCGGGCAATATACACCTTCTAATCTGGAGGATCGTGGAGACCTCTTAGTGATCATCACAGCTTCTTGCCCATCATCAGACATGGTGGAGACCACTGGATCTGAATCCTCTTGATTGACAGGTAGAGGGACTGAAGCTCAGAGAGGTAAAACGACCGCATAGGGTCACACAGCATCATGTGGCAGAATCGTGGCAGGACCAGGGGTCCTACAGTGACCCCCAGGGTAGGATCCTCATTTCAGGTCACACTCACTGACAGCAGGTGAAATGTCGAGGTTTTCTCCAAAGTCCTCTAACGAGGCCCCTTTGCCCCAAGACCAGAAGCCAGTCCTTAGCCTGGGATTCAACGACAGAAACCTGCTCGGCCTCTCATGTCTCCCCCCGCACCTCTGGGCCTCACCGGCTGGGACGAGCCAGGCTCTGGCAGCATCTGTGCCCTTGTACTTTACCCACCGTTGCGCCAAACTGGTCACAAAACGATGACTGATTCGCGTGACCCTCCCCCACTGGACACAGACGCCCCTGGTTCCTCGTACATGGTGCCCAGTGACAGGCTGGGGCAGCACGTGGGGGACTGAACTCTGCTGACATCTCAGCGATGAGCTTGACCAGCTCTAACACGTGGACAGCGCAGGCGCCACGCAGCCACGCAGCATGGCGTGGATGTCCTCTGCAGATTCCAATGCAGTGCACGCAGGAGAGACAGGAGCAGATCCGAGCGGTGTGCTCGGCTCAGAGGGGACGTGGGGTAGTGCAGCAGCTGCTCAGGTCTGATTTCACATCTTTGTCCAAAGGAACTCGGGGTTTTACTCGTTTGTTCGTTGTCTTTGGTTCACGCATTCATCATCTTATTTCTACTGGGCACATGCTATGTGCCAGGCTTGGTGCCAGACAGCAAGGACGCAGCTGGGATTAGTGTGACGAAGGCCATCCTGTCAGGTGGGGTGCACAGCCCCGAGGACGGCCGCCTCGTGGACAGGTGTGCTCTTACCTGGGACAGGGCTGTTCTCTCATCCGCCTGGGCCACCCACACCACACCACAGCCACTGGCCATGCACAGTGGAGCTAGGGGAGAGTTCAAACACAAGCCAAACAGAACATGAAATCACAAAGGGCTGGTGGCCCCTGGGTTGCTGCTGATGAGGTGGCGGGATGCCAGGCTCCCCTCCTGGTGGCGGGGAAGGTTGTGGTGACCATCATGCCAGAGTCCGCAGAGCTGGACAGCAGGCTGGGCTCCGCGGCTCCACCTCCCTGGACTGCCAATCATGCGTCTGTACGATGGAGATGCAAACCCACCCCACAGGTGTGCCACGCACGTGTGCCGGCAAAGGCTCACAAGATGTGCAGTCGGAACCTGCACCAAGAGTCCTCGTGGACCTCGTGGGGTGTGAAGTCTCGGGGCCCCGGGTCAGGTGTGTCTGCCTTTCCAGCAGACCCTTGTGGGCAGGAGGGACAGGAAGGAGCGTCCCAGGCACTGAGCTCCTTGCTGTGACTGGAGGGCTCCTCTCCTGCCGTGAGCAGTGGCTGCGTGTCGGGGCGAGTCCGTCTCATGGCTGCTGTTTCTTTTCCCAGAGTCCCTCGCTGTGGAGGCAACGCTGGCCCGGCTGTGCTCGGAGCTGCAGGTACGTGGAGAGCTGAGCCCTCAGGTCGGGTGGCTGGAGTCATGCATACCTGGATGTCGGCTCCCGGCCCTGATGAAGGCTCTGCTCCCTCAGCAGCCTCCCAGGACGGGGGGAGGCAGGAGAGGTCCCCACTGGTTTGCCACAAGCAGACACAGAGGAGTGTGGCTGCCTTAAAGTCCCTGAACCCCTAGGCTGTGGGCCCAGGCCTGAACCCCAGGCCACGGGCGGGCCACGGTCATACTGTGTCGCCTCCGGTCCCTGCAGCGGTTCAGGTGATAACCGTCAGATACATCTCGTGTGGGCCCCAAGGTGCACGGGCACCACCCCGCTCTGAGTGCAAGTGCTGCCCAGGTTCTATTTGGTGCAAAGCAGCTGAACTCGCTGACTGCTGCAGGGCTGTGGCTGGAGACAGGAGGGGAGGGAAGTGGGGTGGGTGTCGGCCTGCTTCATGGCTGCTGAAGGGCAGGCCTGGTGCTCCGAGTGGAAGAAAGAGCCCCTCCCCAACACCCCTGGGTGTGCTCACAGCCCTGAGAGCCGTTAGAGGAGGAACGTCGCCACCTCGTGGTCACGCACGGAACTGACTGCATCGTCTGGGGCTGCATGGGCTGGGGTGGAAAAGGTTCCGGGGGTTTCCGTCTGCAAACGCAGGGCTGTGCATTGACGGGCGATGGGTGTGCTTCCTCCACGTGACCCTTGTACACAGTTATTAAGTGTCCACTTCATGCCAGCCACTGCCTTGGGTAGGGATAAAAGATGGAAGAGACTTTCCCAGCACTAGAAGCCTCTGGAATGGACGGTTCACATGCCGGCAGACGCTGCCAGAAGGGCCAGGGCCAGGCCAGGGGCTCTGAGATGGGGGGCAGTCAGAGTGGGGTGTCCAGAAGGGCCAGGGTGAGGCCAGGGGCTCTGAGATGGGGGGCGGTCAGAGTGGGGTGTCCAGAAGGGCCAGGGCGAGGCCAGGGGCTCTGAGATGGGGGGCGGTCGGAGTGGGGGTGTCCAGACGGGCCAGGGCGAGGCCAGGGGCTCTGAGATGGGGGGCGGTCGGAGTGGGGGTGTCCAGACGGGCCAGGGCGAGGCCAGGGGCTCTGAGATGGGGGGCGGTCGGGGTGGGGTGTCCAGACGGAGGAGAGGGTGTGCGGACACCTGCCATGGGAAGGCTGCGGGGGTGTGGCTTCGGCTCCCCCTGCCGCTGAATCGCAGCCGTGTGTCTGGCCATGCGTCTCCTTGGCCGTGCTCCTCAGTCCCTGGTGTCAGCTAGTTCTCCTGTGTGACGATGATCAAAGTCCACGGAATCGTAACTGCAAGGACGGAACGGGCGTGCCCGCGGAACACGGGGTGCTCCATGGCCCGGTAGTGAATATTGACGAGTGGAAGCCATGATGATTGCAGGACACTGCGCCCGGGACGTAACGGGAGAGAGTCAAAGCTACGGAAGGAGAGAGGCAGGGAGAAGACTGGGGTCGCTCCCGGAGGAGGGGCCTTGACCGCCCCTGGCTGCCTCCCCAGGTGCTGAACACTCCGGAGAGGGTGGCCGAGCAGATAAGTAAGGACCTCGCCTGGCTGGCTTCCCACCTGATGGCACTGTGGACCCAGTTCCTGGACACGGTGACTCTGCACTCCCAGGTGACCTCCTACCTCACGCAGGAGCACCACACCCTGAGGGTAAGGCCAGGGACCTGGGGGGGGGGGCTCTCCAGCAGTTGGTTCCTGGGGCAGGAAGAGTTGGGGTTGGTCCTGGCTCCCCGTGAACCAGACTGAGTTTTGTCTGGACATGGCCTCTCAAAGCGGGCTCTCCCGCCCGTAGACCACCTCCCTCAGCTCCACACGGCAGCAGAGCCCATCGCAAGCATGACAAGCGCTTTGAGAAGTATTTTCAAATGTCACACACCCTTCGTGGGGTGCTTGTGTGCTCCCAGTGGGTGTGTGTGGACAAGTCCCGATACGTAATAGAAGGCGCAGGCTCCTCCAGCCAAAGGACCACACACCTGGGTGCACAGAGGCTCGGGATGTGCCGCAGGGCCGGCTTTGCAAATTCTCTGTCATCTGCATTTGTGTATGGCCCCTGTGTTCAAGGGTCTTACGTCCTAGCAGGAGAAATCAGACCTCAGTATAAAAATGACAGAAAGCGATGCGAGAACGGATTCATAAACACGTTAAACTATCCATGAAAGAGGGAGGGCCCTGTGGAGGGAGAGGAAGACTGTTGTCTGGGGAGCGGGCTCGGCTCCTCCATTAGGACTTACCTCCGGGGATCTCACTTTCCCCATAAATTCGAGGTGCTGCCCATGCCGAGCCCACGAGTGAAACTGTGCGTGGTTTTATCCCTCAGGTCCGAAGGTTCTCCGAGGCTTTCTTTTACATGGAACACCAAAAACTTGCGGTCCTGACCTTCCAGGAAAATCTGTGAGTAACCATTACATGCCCGTGTCACCCCTCAAAGTTGGCACCCGAGACGTTGTTCAAAGTGACAACTCCCCTTCATCTGTGACTGCGGGGCCGAGGTCACCTGCCTCCGCCCGCCGGCACAGGGGGCAGACAGAGCGCAGAGGGGGCGCTGGCCGGGGCGGAGGGCCGCAGCCAAGTCATCTCCATCGGGTGTCATTATGGCTCCGCCGACAGAGTCGCGCCCTCCGAGGCCCCCGCGGACCTCGGTGGCAGGTCCTCCTTGCAGAAATGAAGTGAAGCAGATGGTGTGGGCACGGGCTACGTCAGGGGAAACCACGGAATTCGCCGGGGACTTTGCAGTGCCTGTGGGATGCGTGTCGCTGATTTAGGACTAAACTCCCTCATGAGTGGGGCTGATGAAGTTTTAAGTTCACCTTCATCCAAAAATAAAGAAACAAAATTAAAATATAGCCCAGAAGGTCAGAGTGTTGGCACGAGGTGAGGTCCTCCTCGCTCAGGTGTCCCTGGGCAGCAGAGACGTGGCCGCAGGACGGGCTGGCCCTCGCCACGCCGGCCCGAGGGTTCCTGTCGGCCTGCACGAGACTCGCCGGAGACCTGAGTGTGGATGAGGAATGTCTGCGAGGCGGCCGCCAGCCCGCAGGGGCACGCGAGGTTCACCCACCGCTCGGCACACCCCGGAGGGTCTTTCACCCTCGTCTGCTACGACCTCGCCCCCCACATCCGTGTCTGGGACGCTCACCGCCACGGAAAGCCGGCCTCGTGGCCCATGAACGTGAGCGGCCCGCGGACACCGCGTCGTGTGTCGGAACAGTTGGTTCGCAGATGTCCAGAGTCTGTCTGTCCTTCATTTACTCAGGCGTCCGTTGCAGCCCTGGCTAGAACTGCCTGAATGCGTTTCCTCAGACTGAAACCAGAACAGGTAAAAATACGGAAAAGCAGGAAACTCGGTCCCGACTCACCCCAGCAATAGGCAAACCTCCTCTGGCTGGGCCACGGGTGTGTTCCCAGGAGTGTGAGCAGCCACGGAGGTGACGAGACACACAGGCGACTGTTGTCCTGGAAGAGTTTTGTTGGAATGCCGGCCACTCGGGAGAGGACAGGTGATCTAGCATCCGGCGGACCTGGGTCCAAAACCCTGATCCTCCAGGGGGCCCATGAGAAAGTAATTTTATGTCCCTCTTGGTTTTTACTTTTATTACATTATTATAGTTCTTGCTAAACCTTACCTAATCTCCTTGAAACGGGCCGGATGGTCGCTGTGAGGACCGAGTGAGAACCCGCGTGCCGTGGCGCGGGCGGTGCCAGCCATCGGGCGCTCGGGGCGTGTCGGATGATGCGCGACGCGTCCACAGATGTGTATCGCGACCCGGGCACCGCAGGGGCAGCGTGGAGACACCGTTCTCGGGGGTCACCCATCTCAGTGGAGAAACATGATGTCAGTTTAGGCAGGGGCGAGTGAAGGGAAGCAAATCAAAGCAAAGACACAGAGAAGGAAGAGAAGGGGACCAGCCAGCGTCCTTGCCAATGCGGAGTCACTAGCTCTCAGAAGGGCAAAAGCAGTCGACTCTGGTCTGCGGTGTTTGCGGACCCCGTGGGAATGCTCCCTGGGGCTCAGCTCCCAGCTCCAGACGGGCTGTCCCCGAGCGTGGGCTGGGAAGCGGTGTGGGCAGTGCGCGGGTCCCGCAGCGCCCCGGAGAGGGGAAGACTGTTGTAGCAGCAGTGATGGGGGAAGGTGTCGCTGAGGACGGGCTCACAGCGAGCTGCCTCAGCGGTGATGTAGGGGTACCCCGGGGGGAAGGTCTCCTGTGGGAACAAATGCTGAAGTGCAGACAGAAGACACGGGCAGGCACGGAGCAGCCCGTGGGACCCTGCTGACCAGGGTGAAGGCTTTGGACTTCATACCATGACAATTATGATCAATGTCATCTTTTATTGTCGAATGAGTTTGGTGGAGAGACCTGGACTTTCAGATCTCCCAGACATGGTTTGTCATCTTGGTTCTGTTGACTGGTCCTACTTGTGACGTCAAACCAGCTTCTGGACTTCCCTCGGGTCGCTTGGGTGTCAAGGGGAGAGCCCTTCATGCAGCAAATATCTATTACCGTTGACTGTGATCCAGACACGATTCGGGCTGTTGGATATCCACCGTGAACAAATCAAATTTCCTGGGTCGTGGGGATTTTATGTAAGGAGTAGGAGTAAATAAAACACGACATGCCAAATGTGGTCAGCGCTGTGGGAAAAAATACCAGTGTGAAAAGAGACCGTAATGTTTGTCCCCTAGTATAACTTTGGAGATGAGAGAAATGTATACTCATTCAATTAATAGTGGCCATCAACCTATAACTTAAAACATAGACTAGGATAGAAACAAAACTGTTCAAGAAGAAATGAACATTTAATTAAATCATTAAGAATAAGAGCTATTGCCCAGCTGGTGTGGCTCAGTGGCTGAGCATCGTCCCATGCACCAAGAGGTCCCCAGTTTGATTCCCAGTCAGAGAACATGCCCAGGTTGTGGACCTGGTCCTCAGTGAGGGGCATGCAGGAGGCGGCCAATCAGTGTTCTCTCTCATCGATGTTTCTCTCTCTCTCTCCCTCTCCTTTCCTCTCTCTCTAAAATCAATAAAGGAAAAAAATTTTTTTAAAAAAAGAATAAGAACTATTGAGAAAGAGGGGCGTTTCATTTCTGGCCAAATATCACCAGGTGAAGGTACAAAGTTCTGTGAATAGGACTGAAACTGAAGCTAGTGGTCAGGCTGTGCAGCTCTGGCCACCGTGTGAACAAGGGTCTGCCCGTGGAGGTCAGAGCTGGACAGAGAGACAGCTGCTGCAGGTCCTCCCACTTACATAAGAGGCAAGAACCTCCTTCCCACATGAGGGGGGACAAGTGGACCGACGAGGTGGCCCAGGTGTTGATCTATCTGTCGAGATGCATCTTGTTTACGTTCAGACTGGATTGCGTTTCTCAAATAACAGGTCAGGATCATGGAGTGGACTGTGAGATCGACCTGGTGGACGTGGGGCGGCACTTTCTCCATGAAAAGGCTGGGTAGGGTAGGGTTGGCTAGAACAGTATCGGGGAGGATGGAATAGATCGTGAGAGCGCGAAGTGTTTCTGAAACTTCGGTGGCTGTGTGTGTGTCTCTGGGAGTCTGTTGATCGTCCGAGATGCCACATAAAATGACGACTGTTTCCTGCCACGGTTGTGGTATTTAAGAGTGTTCAAAAGTCATGTAGAACTGGCTAGCAGCAAGGGTGTCTTATGGTTCCTCTGTGTTTAGCCAATGTCTAGCCAGCGCTCTTCACATGGTAGAAGTGCTCAATGAAAGTTTGTGTAATTCATGAAAGTGCAAGTGTCCATGTGCATAAAGACCTGTACTGATGACTTCACTTCCACTGTGTGAGTTTACAACTCATTTGTGTTACAAGATGCTGCGTGTATGGGATTGGAAAGGAGACACTTTCCCTGCCTTCCTGAAGCTTAGTCTGTTGAGATGACTCTGGCAAGAAACTGTGCCGAGTGCTTTGTACGCACTGGCTCGTGTAATGTCCACACTACCTCCTGCAAGTAGGAACTGTTTTTATTCCCACGGTTCAGAAGAAGAAAAACCACCACCACCACCACCTGGGGACACCTGGGTGGCTTACAGAGGTGAAGTGATTTATCTTAGACCACACAGTGAGCAAGTGACCTATCCACGGATCTGTCGCAATCCAGATCCCACGTCCTAGCCCACATGCTCTGGCTCCTATATGTAGCGTTGAGTCATTCTTCTAAAGAATACACCTGAAAAATGAAATGTGGATTTTTCAGCCTCTAAAATAGAAGGATCTGTAGGCTGTTGGGCTGTGCTGGAGTCAGGGCAAAGGTGGCATTGAAATAAGTAGGTAATAAACAGAGTAATGGTATTAAAGCAAGCACTGTGGTCAATGTTACATGTTGCATGAAAAGGAACAATGCTGTTAGAGTTCCAAATGTAGCTACACGGTGTGAGCAGTGTTACATGTATCAAAAGTGGAAGTTCTGACAGTGGAGCACTGACTGCTCCATACAGCAGTCCCCTGGGAGATTCTCATCTTTCTTCATTGAAACTTTATGCCCACTGATAGAAGCTCCCCGCCCCCACTCCCTCCAGCCCCTGCCACCAACGCTCCACTCCCCGATCCCATGGACTGGACAGTTTAGCCACCTCATATAAGTGGAATCCTGCAGTATTTGTCCTGTGACTGGCTTCTTTCATTTAGCGTAATGCCCTCAAAGTTCACCCGTGTTGTCGCATGTTGCAGAATTTCCTTCTTTTGAAAGGTTGAATGGCATTCCATTGCACCACATTTTCTTCTTTTTTTTTTTTTTTTTATTTTTTTTTATCCTCACCCGAGGATATTTTTCCATTTTTTGTACAGATAGAGTGGGAGGGAGAGAGAGGAAGGGAGAGAGAGAGAGAAACATCGACGTGAAGGGACACATCGAGTGGCTGCCACCCGCACAACCAACCAGGGCCGGGGACAAACTGCAACCGAAGTACGTGCCCTTAGCGGGAACCGAACCCGGGTCTCTCTGGACCGCAGGCCGACGCTCTCACCGCTGAGCCAAACTGGCCAGGGCACACCACCACATTTTCTTTATCCATTCCTCTGTCCACGGACACTCAGCTTGTCTGCGTGTCTCGGCTGTTGTGGGTCATACTGTTAGGCTTGTGGGAGTGTTACTGTCCCTGAAGGTCCTGATTCGGTTCTCTGGGGGGTTACCCAGAAGTGGGATTGCCGGGTGATATGCGATTTCTAGTTTTAAACTTTTGAGGAATTTCTGGACAGCGCTCCATTGCGGGCGCACCAGTTTTCATTCCCACAAAGGTTCCACCGTGTCCACATCCTACCACACTTGTTTGTTGTCGTTACTTTAATAATAGCCACCTGACAGGTGTGAAGTGATATCTCATCATGTGTATGCCCCTAGAATATTTAATCATTTTTTAAATACATACGAAGCCCTGTTTTAGGCACTTGATCACGTTCACAAAGTCCCTATGCTAAAGAAGCTACATCCCAGCAGGAGGTAACTCCCTGCGTTAAATAACTTAGACCTGATTCTGCTAGACCTACCCTGCTGTATTATAATTACTTCATCAATCACCTGATTTACTAGTGATGCCATAGGCTCTTTAGGTCTAGAATTGAGTTTCAGCCCTCTGGGTATACACCCTAGCCTGTCTACACAGTCATGCATGTTGCTGTTTAATCAATATACTTTAAAAACTATATTTTTTTATTGAATGCTTTAGAGAGAGGTAAGGAGAGGGAGAGAGAGAAGAACATCAATGAGAGAGAAACATCAATCGGCTGCCTCCTGCACACCCCCTACTGGGGATGGAGCCTGAAACCCAGGCCTGTGCCCTGACTGGGAATCCAACCGGCAACCCAACCAGCACCCCTTTGGTGCACAGGATGATGACGCCCGATCAACTGAGCCAAACCTGCCAGGGCCATCATCAATATACATTTTTTTTTTAAACTCATCTTTATTGTTGAATGTATTATAGATGTCCCTCCTTTTCTCCCCTCCTCCCCAGTCCCACCCCCCTCCAGTCTTCCCCACACTATTGTCAGTGTCCATTGTTTATGATATATGCATAGAAGTTGTTTGATTTATCTCATCCCACCCTCCCTCCCCCCTCCCTTTGAGGTTCATCAGTCTAACAATTAATTTGTACTTCTTAATTCCTTCGTCTTTTTCACCCATCGCCCAAGCCCCCCCCCACCCCCCAATCTGGCAAGCAACAAAAAGTTCTCAGTATCTATGAGTGTTTCTGTTCTACTTGCTCATTTTGTTTGTAGATTCAATTGATAGATATGTATTAATTGCCATTTTATTGTTCATGTTTTTGTACTTTTTCTCCTTTGAGAAAACCCCTCAACATTTCATATAATACTGGTTTGGTGGTGATGAACACCTTTAGCTTTTTGTTGTCTGGGAAACTCGATATGTCCATCGATTCTAAATGATAACTTTGTAGGCTAGAGTAGTCTCGATTGTAGGTCGTTGCTTTTCATCACCTTGAATATCTCTTGCCACTTCTTTCTGGCCTGCAAAGTTTCTTTTGAGAAATCAGCTGACAGTCTTATGGGAGCTCCTTTGTAGGTTATAGACTACTTTTCTCTTGCTGCTTTTAAGATTCTCTCTTTGTATTTAACCTTTGGAATTTTGATAATGATATGTCTTGGTGTGGTCCTTTTTGGGTTCATCTTATTTATTTATTTATTTTTATCCTCACCCGAGGACATTTTTCCATTTTTCACTCAGATAGAGCGGGAAGGAGAGAGAGGAAGAGAGAGAAACATTGATGTGAAAGGGACACATCGAGTGGCCGCCACCCGCACGACCAACCAGGGCCGGGGACAAACTGCAGCCAAGGTACATGCCCTTAGCGGGAACCGAACCCAGGTCTCTGTGGACCACAGGCTGACGCTCTAACCGCTGAGCCAAACCGGCCAGGGCCGGGTTCATCTTGTTTGGGACTCTGTATGCTTCCTGGACTTGTATGTCTGTTTCCTTCACCAAGTTAGTAAAGTTTTTGTCATTATTGTTTCAAATAGGTTTTAAATTTCTTGTTCTTTCTCTTCTCCTTCTGGCACCCGTAGGATGTGAAGTTGGCACGCCTGAAGTTGTCCCAGAGGCTCCTTACACTATCCTTATTTTTTTTTTTCTTTTTTTTCTTTTTGCTGTTTTGATTGGGTGTTTGTTGCTTCCTTATATTCCAAATTGATGGTTTGTTTCTTGGCTTTACCTACTCTACTATTGATTCCCTGTAAATTATTCTTTATTTCAGTTAGTGCATCTTTCATTTCTCACTGGTCCTTTTTTATGTTATTGATGTTCTCACTAAGTTCCTTGGAGGTCTCACTAAGTTCCTTGCATGTCTTGCCAAGTTCCCTGAGCAGCCTTATAGCCTGTGTTCTGAATTCTGCATCTGTTAGATTGCTTATCTCCATTTTGTTTAATTCTTCTCCTGGAGTTTTGTTCTTTTCCTTCATTTGGGACATGATTTTTGTCTCTTCATTTTGACTGCTTCCCTGTGATTGTTTCTATGTATTAGGTAGAGTTGCTATGTCTCCTAGGCTTCGTAGGGTGGCCTATTGTAGGTGTCCTGTAGGATCCAATGGCATAGCCTCCCTGTTCGCCCCAGATGGGCCCTCGAGGTGCACCCCAAGTGTGGACTATACACCCTTCTGTTGTAATTGAGTCTTGATTGCTGTTGGCACCTCAATGGGAGGGATTTACTCAGGCTGATCAGCTGCAAGGACTGGCTGTGCCCACTGACCACTGGCCTCTGACTCCCTTGGAGGATCAGCTGTGCAGGGCCCACCACACAGAGCAAGTCTTACTTCAGCAGGGCTCTGGGACCCACTGAGTCCACTCACTGAGTGTGTCACCTGTGGAGGTGGTTGGGTGGTGGTGTTTCGACGTGGTCTGAAGCTGTCCACTGGGTGTGCTGGCTCTGGGGCCAGGTCAGCCTCTGCCTGTGTTCTATCCATGGCCACCAGGCATAAGCTACAGAGTGATCTGCAGATGCGGCTTCTTGTGCTGGGCCTGGAGGAGCCCAGGAGAAGCCAAGTTGTGAAGCAAGGCTGGCTGCTTCTAGTGCTGGGCCTGGGGCCTTATCGAGAGGTATGGGGCTGCTTGTTTGAGAGATTTTAGGAAACTGTGAGGCAGGATCCAAGACAAGCCAGTCCTATGGTAAAGCCTTTGGAAACAGCTTGGGTGGGCCTGAAAGTTGGGTGGGGCGGGGCCTCAGGGAATCACGGGGTGTGTATGTGTGTGTGTTGGGGGTGGTGGTGGGGAGGAGCAAACAGTGTGACCAGGTTGCTGGAGTCCCAGATATGGCGGCTGTCTGCTGCCCCAGGGAAGGGCTCACCGAAGGAACATCAGCCTCCGCCAGCACGCTGTCCAAGAGAAAGCTCCCTCTCCAGCTCTCATCCAAACAGCTCAGTTCTTCCCTGTATGTCTCTGGTCCCCCTTAAGCCGCCTCCCCTCTGAGCTCAGAGGGAGCAAATCTAAGTAAGTTCGTGCACGGGCCCTTTAAGAGGAGCTGCCTGGGGCTCCAGCCGCCTCAGCCTCCCCGAGACTCAGTTCCTGCTGGTTTTCCAGCCAGAAGTGATGGGGATTCTCTTCCTGGCACTGGGACCCTGAGCTAGGCCTGGTGTGGGACGGGGACCCCTCAGTGCTCAGGGAGGACCTTCCCAGCCGAGGGTGTGGGACCAGCCCATCCGCCTCCGCCCCTCCTACCAGTCTCATGGGGCTGCTTCTGCTTCTTTGATCTCGCGGTTGTAGGCCTTCCATTCAGCTGGATGTCAGGTGGTTCTGAACGATGGTTGTGTTGTAGTTTAGTTGTAATTTTGATGTGGTTGTGGGGGAGGCAAGACCGCGTTTACTTACCCCCCATCTTGACTGGGAGTCATCAATATACTTTTGTAAGACACTGAAAACTGGACCAAAGGTACCAGGCTCCGATGACCGCTACGAAGTACGGAATTGACTGCACAAAATTCTGGGTTTGGGTCCTTAGAGAAGGGTCGAAGAACGATGGCGTGGCAGCTGCCTCGGGGCTCTGAGGAGGAGAAGGCACGGTTAGGTTTCAACTGGGAAATAAGGACATAAAACGTACACAGTCCTGTGCATGTGAAAATTCATGCACACGGGATCGTACATGCATACGTGTTCATCTTCATGGCCTGAGAGTGCTTTGGGCCATGTGGAGTTCCACAGCTGGAGACCTGTTCTGCAGGGGCTGATGATTGACAGGCCTGGGGACAGGGGTGGGGCCAGGCTACTCCCAAATGCGCGACAGACAGACAGACAGACATGAGCTGTGCACGCTCGAGTCTTCTCCCTCTTTTCCCTGTGAAAGCGCGCGGGCATCGAGGGAAAAGAGGGAGTGTCCGTATTTTTCCTTCCAGGAGAGGAGGCAGAAATAAACTCGCTCCCTTTTGCGGGAAGTTGAGGAGAAGGGAAGGAACGGTCTCTACCGCCCCAGCCTTTGAATTAGAAATTCCGATTATTTTAAACTCAGGAACCAGATTTCTGCTGGGGGAGGGCATTTGAGTCATGGAGGAAGAAGATGGGGCGCTGTTGAAACGCTGTGTTGGGGAACTAGAAAACGTGGTTCGTGAAATAAGGGAACCTACACCCAACTGAGGGTGCCAGGGTCTGCGCAGTAAGCAGGAAAAAAGCCGTTTTAGATAACGTTTAACTGAAGTGCCACAAATGTGAGTCAGACCCCAAGTGCTGTGAGTGGTTAGAGAGGTGAGAGTATAAATACACAGATTTCAGTGTTCCCTCCCACGTGTAAGCTTCCTAGCCATTTGGAGATTCAGCCCACGTGCCACTGGAACGGCATGTATGACATCCCGCCGAATGGGCGATAGATGCCCTGTGTTTCGCCTCATCACACGATCTGGGACCTCCAAGCTCTGCCCAGACCAGTTCCAGCACAAGGCAGACAGACGGCGGCGGTGGGGCTGGGGGAGAGGGAGGGCGGACAGACAGCCAGTTTAAGAGTCTGTTGGGCATTTTCTGAATGTTTTCTGGGGATCAGGGGATGGGGCAGCAGTTTGAAAGCACTGACCCTTCCCGGACGCTCACTGTGCCCACCCGGCCCGTGTGTTCCCAGGACCCAGTCCCACAGCCAGCTGTCCTTGGACATCCGGAGCTCGGAGTACCTGAGCACCATGCCCCCGCTGCCCGCCGAGTGCCTGGACATCGACGGCGACGGCAGCACCCTGCCCGTCATCTTCGAGGACAGATACGTGGACTGCCCTGCCACAGGTGCGTCTGCTTCAGAGACTCAAGCGTGAGGCTTAGCAGGGAGTTCCGGCCGGTAGCGCTAGTCACGTCCTAGCTGCAGAGGGACCCGGTGGGCGCAGGAGTTTCTTAGTTCACCGAGGAGAGGCAAGAAAGTAAGATCAAGTTAGTTGCTGGAAATTACTTCTTCCAGTGAGGTTGACAAATCAGTGTCACCACAGGACGATTGTAGTAGGGAGCCCCGTCCCCACTCCTTCTGGCGTGGAATTGGACCACGTGCCGAAGCGTTTTTACCTGCAAAACAACCAAATTCTCCGTTATCGGAGCACCGGGAAGAGAGCCTTTCTTTTTTAAAAATTTTTTCCCCCTTTATTGATTTTAGAGAGAGAGGAAGGGAGAGGGAGAGAGAGGTAGAAATATTGACGAGAGAGAACATCGATTGGCCACTTCCTACATGCCCCCCACTGGGGATCGGGCCCACAACCTGGGCATGTGCCCTGACCGGGACTCGAACCGGCGACCTCCTGATGCAGGGTCGATGCTCAACCAGTGAGCCACACCGGCCAGACGGAGATCCTTTCTTACCTGCAATGTGCATTCAGATAGAAATCCTTTCTACTGGAACCTGGTGGCCTCCAGTCAGGCTGCTGTGCAGGGCTGGCTCCATGCCGGGACCCAGGCAGGGGTTCGAGAACATGGGCTGCTGGAGCACACGGAAGAGTGGGTGAGTGACTCGTTCCTGGGAGGGGAGAATGTGTCTGCGAGTGTGTGTTCACACACGTGGGTTTTGCTGGTGTTGCCCAGTTCCTGACTGAGCTGACAGGTCACCGGGAGCGAGCCTGGTGCAAACCGACTGGGCAGCTCTACATGGGGTCCCAGCGAGCACTTCAGACGGCAGTTCAGTACCCCCTCAACCCTCCAGGGACCAGAAAATGCCCAGCCCTGTGCCAGTCACAGTGCACAGTTTTCATTATATCAACCTGCTTCACCTCAGCAGAGCCCCACTGGGCGGTGGTATGTGTTTTAGCACTTTACTCCTATGACAAAAACCTTGCAGGCCCTATTTCACAGGGGAAACTGAGGCACGAGGCGTCTGCGGGTGAATTAAGGAGCACACAGCTTATAGAAGCCGACAGGCAAAGCCAGTTCACCCTGGTCCCGGAGCCCACGCTGCCTGCCTCGCCACCTTTGTGAGGCATCATGCTCGTGTGCCCATCACCGGAAAGGGGGCCCTGATGTCAGAGCACCTGCCATCTGAATGCGTAGGGTGTTTTAGAGTCTAGGTGACTTCCAAGGACAGTGCCGCCTTGCAGAGGAATGGGGCTATTTGGGTCTCAGCTGTACCCTGACATCTAGTGGCCACACGGCATATGACGGCTAAAATGTCCTTGCAGCCAAGCCAGTGGGTGGAAAGGGCTTAACACTTTGCATTGAGACCCTGTGTGCATGCACATAGACATGCTCCTCTTCAGCAGAGTTTTATAAGTTAGCTACTAAAATTTTCAGACCTTCTAATATTATCATTATTAGGCTTGGTTGCAGGGGGCCTTCTAGTCTTTTTTTCTAGACAAATGACTAGCTACCCCATCAACTTGTGGGGACAGTCACAGTGCACAGTTTTCATTGTATCAACCTGCTTCACCTCAGCAGAGCCCCACTGGGCAGCATTGGCTGGAGAGTCAACCTCTGTCCATCGGGTACCCCCTGCGCCCTTCCCTACTGCCCTCCAAGTCAGTGCCCTGGGGTCATCCCTCTGCCCAAGCATCGTTCCGTCTCTACACAGTGGTTCACCACCACGTCTCTTCGCAGCGTCTGTAATGTGGTTGGGACGTGGGACGGAGCTGAGATGGGGACCCCGGTGCTGACAGGCCCATCATCTTCCCCAAGGCTCGGGGACGCCTGCCTGGCTCCCCGACACCTTTGCCCAGACCATCCTCACCCCCATCCCAACCAGGTTCCCACAGCGATCCATGTCCCCTGGCAAACTCCAAGGCTGTATATGACCTGATTCTTATGCAATGTCATTTTTTGTAAAGTTATTGTTATTGTTGAAAATATTGTAAATGTCCCCCATTTTCTCAATGACTAAACACCTGCGCCCTGATTCTTTAATCCCAGAACAAAAGTATTAGTAAATCAGGAACTATTTTCTACTTCTTCAAGGACTGGGCTGCTTTAATACTTAAAAATCAAAGGGAAGTGATCAGATTTGTATTTCTTTCCTTCAGTGGAGTGAAAAGGGGAATAAAAGAGCTGCATTTGCATATTAAACAAAAACATCTGCTCATCAGCTATCTCCATGGCTGGCACCCGGACTCCCAGGTTACCTTGCACACCTTCACCAACGACCTTCACTCCGCTGCTCCCCCTCGCACCCCTCCTCAACCCTGTCCAAAGGCAATCGAGCCTTTTACTAACCTAATCCAACCCTAACCTAACCCTAACCCTAACCCTAACCCTCCTCACTACCCTGTCCAAAGGCAATCGAGCCTTTTACTAACCTAATCCAACCCTAACCTAACCCTAACCCTAACCCTAACCTTAACCCTAACCCTAACCCTCCTCACTACCCTGTCCAAAGGCAATCAAGCCTTTTACTAACCTAATGCAACCCTAACCTAACCCTAACCCTAACCTAACCTCAACCCTAACCCGAACTGAATAACCTTAACCTAACCCCAACCCTAACTCTAGAACTAAACCCAATCCTAACCCTAACCCTAACCCTAACCTTAACCCTAACCCTAACCCTAACCCTAACCCTACCCTAACCCTAACCCTCCTCACTACCCTGTCCAAAGGCAATCAAGCCTTTTACTAACCTAATCCAACCCTAACCTAGCCCTAACCCTAACCCTAACCTAACCTCAACCCTAACCCGAACCTAATAACCTTAACCTAACCCCAACCCTAACTCTAGAACTAAACCCAATCCTAACCCTAACACTAACCCTAACCTTAACTCTAACCCTACCTTAACCCCAACCCTAACCCTAGCACTAACCCCAATCCTAACCCTAACCTTAACCCTAACCCTACCCTAATCCTATCCCCAACCCTAACTCTGACCCCAACCCTAACCCCCACCCTGGCCAGACTCCCTGGATGTGAATCTGTTCCCACAATTAGCAACTGCATGGAATTGGGCCACAGGGCTGTGCTTTCTCCCCCAGAGCCGCTGCGAGTCCTGGGGAATCCTCCCTGGAACACGTCCAGGCGACTGGCCCCGAAGAAGCTAGGAACGGATGTCCAGTAGCCTACTGTCGGTGTCCGGCCACATCCGTTCTCTGAGTGAGGTCCTCCGCTGCTCTCCTCTTGGCTTCTTGTCCGAGTGACAGCAGACTTAACCTCTGACAGCACTGGGCCCCCTCACGGGGCTCCCTAGGTCTTGTCTCAGCTGTCCAGGATAAATCTGATAAACCCTTGACTTCTGTCCCAAGAGTCCACCCATCCGTCCGCTCCCTGTGACATAAAGACCAGACTCCACACTGATGTGGCATCCAGGTCCTCCACGCTGTGGGCTTTCCCGACCTCGCCTCCTACTTCCTCCGGCCACTCCTGCTTCGTCCACGTGGGGTCTAACTGGTGCCGGCCCAGATGCGCACCCCAGACCGTGGCCCTGCCCACGCCTTCCCCTTCCTAGTGCTCACTGTCCTCGGAGGAAGGTTCGTTTGTATTCTCCAGGACACAGGCCACATTCTTGTGGCGGGAGAACCAACCCTACTATTGCTGCATATATTTTTCAATAAGTTTTAAATCCTTTAAAAGCAGAGACTGGCTCACTATCGTAACTAATCCCTACGTTCCCTGTGCCCAGTACACTGCCTGGCACAGGGCTTTGCTCGTAGGGTATGTGAGTGCACCATGCACGGACTGAATGGCGCTGCAGGGTGTGAGTGCATTGTGCACGGACTGAATGGCTCTGCAGGGTGTGAGTGCACCACGCACGGACTGAATGGCGCTGCAGGGTGTGAGTGCACCGTGCACGGACTGAATGGCTCTGCAGGGTGTGAGTGCACCACGCACGGACTGAATGGCGCTGCAGGGTGTGAGTGCACCGTGCACGGACTGAATGGCTCTGCAGGGTGTGAGTGCACCGTGCACGGACTGAATGGCACTGCAGGGTGTGAGTGCATTATGCACGGACTGAATGGCACTGCAGGGTGTGAGTGCACCGTGCACGGACTGAATGGCACTGCAGGGTGTGAGTGCACCACACATGGACTGAATGGCACTGCAGGGTGTGAGTGCACCGTGCACGGACTGAATGGCACTGCAGGGTGTGAGTGCACCACACATGGACTGAATGGCGCTGCAGGGTGTGAGTGCACCGCGCACGGACTGGATGGCGCTGCAGGGTGTGAGTGCACCGTGCACGGACTGGATGGCGCTGCAGGGTGTGAGTGCACCGTGCACGGACTGGATGGCGCTGCAGGGTGTGAGTGCACCGCGCACGGACTGGATGGCGCTGCAGGGTGTGAGTGCACCGTGCACGGACTGAATGGCGCTGCAGGGTGTGAGTGTACCGCGACATGGACTGGATGGCGCTGCAGGGTGTGAGTGCAACGTGCACGGACTGAATGGCGCTGCAGGGTGTGAGTGCACCGTGCACGGACTGAATGGCACTGCAGGGTGTGAGTGTACCACACATGGACTGAATGGCACTGCAGGGTGTGAGTGCACCACACATGGACTGAATGGCGCTGCAGGGTGTGAGTGCACCGTGCACGGACTGAATGGCACTGCAGGGTGTGAGTGCACCGTGCACGGACTGAATGGCGCTGCAGGGTGTGAGTGCACCGTGCACGGACTGGATGGAGCTGCAGGGTGTGAGTGCACCGTGCACGGACTGGATGGAGCTGCAGGGTGTGAGTGCACCATGCACGGACTGAATGGCGCTGCAGGGTGTGAGTGCACCGTGCACGGACTGAATGGCGCTGCAGGGTGTGAGTGCACCGTGCACGGACTGGATGGAGCTGCAGGGTGTGAGTGCACCGTGCACGGACTGGATGGCACTGCAGGGTGTGAGTGCACCATGCACGGACTGAATGGTACTGCAGGGTGTGAGTGCACCGTGCACTGGAACTGAATGGACACTGCAGGGTTGTGAGTGCACCACACATGACTGAATGGATGCTGGCAGGGGGTGAGTGCACTGTGCACGGACTGGATGGCACTGCAGGGTGTGAGTGCACCGTGCACGGACTGAATGGCGCTGCAGGGTGTGAGTGCACCGTGCACGGACTGGATGGAGCTGCAGGGTGTGAGTGCACCGTGCACGGACTGGATGGCACTGCAGGGTGTGAGTGCACCACACATGGACTGAATGGTGCTGCAGGGTGTGAGTGCACTGTGCACGGACTGAGTGGTATTGCAGGGTGTGAGTGCACTGTCCTTGGACTGAATTATGCTGCAGGGTGTGAGTGCACCGTGCACGGACTGAATAGCGCTGCAGGGTGTTAGTGCACCGTGCACGGACTGAATGGCACTGCAGGGTGTGAGTGCACCGTGCACGGACTGAATGGCGCTGCAGTGTGTGAGTGCACCGTGCACGGACTAAATGGCGCTGCAGGGTGTGAGTGCACCGTGCACGGACTGAATGGCACTGCAGGGTGTGAGTGCACCGTGCACGGACTGAATGGCACTGCAGGGTGTGAGTGCACCGTGCACGGACTGAATGGCGCTGCAGGGTGTGAGTGCACCGTGCACGGACTGAATGGCACTGCAGGGTGTGAGTGCACCGTGCACGTACTGAATGGTGCTGCAGGGTGTGAGTGCACCGTGCACGGACTGAGTGGTATTACAGTTACATTTTTTCAAACTGGTACAGTTGATGCGACTCATTGCCTTGGCTCTGTTGTGTTTCTGTTCTACTCTTCATTCATTTATGAACACAGTGAGTTACGACGAGGCAGCCTTGGGATATAGGTATTCCTAACACACAACTCCTCTCTCCAGTGGGGACAAGCAGGGCACCGTGGATTGTAGCCTGGTGTGAGGAGGGCAAGCTGGGAATTTACCACAGAGGATGTGTAATCTGCTGCAGAGTGTGGGAACCCCCACCCCAGGAAGGGAAATTAGCGTAGTCTCTCAAGACGCAAAGAGCATGTCCAGGTAAAGGAAGGTACACCTCTCTGTTCTCATTCTCGGTGCTACATTTCACTGAAAGGCAGGAGGTGACGGTACCTCAACGTCCCATGTCATTTTGAAGGAAGTGTCTCAGTGGTTTACCTCATGTTCACGTTTCATGGTGATTATCACCCTCTAACTTCTATTAAAACCATAAGGAGGATTTAGGCTTTTTAAGGAAAATAAAAGGCCAGCGCCTCTCCCTTTTCTGTTTGGTGTGTGTGGGAATTGAACCCTCAGTGCCCAGAGATTTTTATTGGGGTTCCGTTTTGCCGGCGTGGGTGATGTCGCTGGCAGCATTGCTGGACTCAGCCCCAGCCCGCCTCCCCCCTCGGAGGCTGTGCGGGGTGGCCTGGCCCAGAGCCCGGCCCAGGAATCACATGGCTGGTCTTCCTGGCGCCGACAGCCCCTCCCTGAGCCCTCTCCAGCACCAGCCGTCAAGGGACTCGCCAGGAGCCGTGTGGCCACCGTGAGCTCGCGGGGCTCAGGACTGGAAGACCCTCCTGCCACTGGGAAGTTGTGGGAATGCAGAGGCCCCTCCCAGGAACGGCAGGGCGCCTGCCGAGTTCTCTATGATACAAGCAGGCATCTGGGCAATTTGTGAACATAGATTCTTCCCCTCAGCATGTTCTTTCTCTTTTTCTTTCTTTTCCGTAGGGCACGGTTTGAGTGTCTACTCTAATTTCGATGTTCCAGCAGTGAGTCCCACAGAAATGAGTCTAAATGACAGCGAAGGGAGCCAGACCGTCGGCAGGATGCCACCTCTGAGGAGACGCCTCCTCGTGCCCGCCCTGCAACCAGCCCGGAGGGACTCTGAGGAGCAGGGCACGGGCCCTCCGGCGCCAGGAGGGGACGGGGCCGCCCTAGGCCAGGCAGACGTGCGCTCGGAATCTCAGGTGCATCTGATGGTCGGTGAGTCCCGGAGCCGAGCAGCCTCGCCTGACGATGCGTGTTGGACGGGCCACAGGCCTGATGCCGGAATGCGGTCACGGGCCGATGGCGACCTGCCCGGGGGGAGTCCCAACCCAGAAGACGGCCAGGGCCCCGCGCCGGCCTGCACTGACGTGGCGTCTAGCGATAAGCTCCCCTGCACAGCCGAGCCCACGGTGGTCCTTAGTGGGAGTGGGCGCGTCCCAGATCACCCTGAATCCGACAGAACTCTGCCGAGCAAAGGGGCAGCACGGGGGAGTCGTCCAAACTCTCCAGACAAAGCAGCGCTCCACGAGTCAAGAGCTCTAGGGAGGGGAGCAGACCCAGAGGGTAAGACGGGGCTGCCGAGTCTGAAGCTCTTCCCCAGTGACCCTTGTGAGCCCCGGAACCCTACTTGGAGGGATCCCCTGGAGGTCAGGGGTTCCCCGAAGGCCTCCCACGCCGAGGAGCAGGAGGGAGCGTCGGTGCTGTCGGGCGTCATCAAGAGATCTTCCTCCATCATCTCCGACTCCGGCATTGAGAGTGAACCAAGCTCCGTGGTCTGGTCCGAGGCCCGAAGCAGGGCCCTGGAGCTGCCCGGCGACCGGGAGGTCCTGCACCTGCTGGTCCGCAGACACGCCCAGCACAGGGACTCCCTGGAGGGACACACGGAGAGCAACACCAGCTTGCCCAGCGGGACCCAGGCCTCCCTCACCTCCATCAGCTCTTTGCCCTTTGAGGAGGAGGAGCGGGAGTTGGCGCTCACCAAACTGACCAAGTCGGTGTCAGCACCCCAGATCAGCAGCCCAGAGGAGTCTGCCGAGGACGCGGGCACCACGCGGCGAGAGGGCGGCCCCGCTGGAGCTCCAGCCGGGCACCCCCAGAGCACGGAACCCCCGGGACACTGCAGCCGGCCCAGGAGTGGGGGCTCTGGAGCCCAGGACACTGGGGCCAACCGTGCCCTCGTGGGGCTGACTTCAGGTGCTGACAGCCAGCAGGGCCCTGGTTACACAGACGTCCCCAAAGACAAAGAGCTTCACCTGGATCCTCCAGGACCCTGTTGTCTTGACAGCAGGGCTGAGAGCCCTCCGGGCGTTGAAACCAAAGGTCTTAATTTAAAAACACCACTTGGCACAGCGCTGGACAGCCCTGGGAGCAGAGCCTTTCCCGGGGCAGGGATGGAGACCCCCGAGGGCACGGCCCAGGCCCTGACTGTGGGGGGAGGGGCTCTTTCCAACAGCCACAGCTCAGCGGTCGAGAGCCTTGCTGGCCAGAAGGTGCTGGACCTGAGCGGTACGTCAGCGGGTGAGACCATGGACCTGGATGCCACAGGGGAGGGGAGCAGCCCTCCTTGCGTGGCGGAGGAGACGGCACCAGGCAGAGGGGCGGACGCCCTCCGGGACGTGGGACCTCAGGCAGGCACGGTGGGCTCCGCTGTGCCTCACGCCACTCACTCCCAGGTTCTGGGACCCCAAGAGCCCAGGGCAGGCGCTTCCATCACGGGGTCCCCCCTGAGTCCTGCAGAGACCTTCTCTTCGGACAGTCTGAAGGCCGTGGAGGTCGTCAACTTATCCGTGTCCTGTACGGCCACGTGCCTCCCGTTCTCGTCTGTGCCCAAAGAGACCCCTGCCAGGGCTGGCTTCTCCTCCAGACAGACCCCCTTCCCCATCACGCATCAACCGCTGGGTTCCTTTGGGGTTGTCTCCACCCATTCCAGCCAGCTGGAGGACGAGGTCAGCGAGAGGATGTTCAGGTGAGCTCGCTGGCGCCACCGGCCCCGCCCCACCTGTTAGTTGTCTTCTCATTGAAATAAGTGATGTATTCACGTCACAGAAGTCCCGTGTAGAACAGTATAACGAAGTAGGAATCATCAAGTTCATTTCTTACATGTGACCACGACGTAAGTTCCCCCACACTGCTTTCTATTTGCACCTACATCTAGATATTCTTTTTATGCAAAAATAGGATAATTCTGTACACACTATGTTTTGTTTTTCCCCAGCCCAATATATTGGAAACAAGCTTTCTGTGTTTATGTCTATTTTTGCCTTATCACTTACTGTTTCAACAATACACCATGGGAGAGATGTATTGTGATTAATTAACAAAATCCTTTAGAGATGGGCATTGAAGTTTCTTGTTTCGTTTTTATTGTGATAAACAGCTCTCTCACGAGCATCATCGCAACTGCTGCCCACTTCGCGTGGACGGTTCTCAGCCTTCAGGGAACAGATGCCTTCCCCGGGGGGGGTGCCTCCTGGGCCCCTTTTGTGTGGTTCCTAAGTTGATCATTCCTTTGACAGCATCCAAATCCATCCCTCATTCTTGTGTGGGGCTGGTGTGCCAATGGCTGCCTCACCTCCAAACCGTACGTTTGATTAAGTATATTATAGAATCATTTTTTTTTTATCCTCACCCGAGGACATTTTTCCATTTTTTGTTCAGATAGAGCGGGAGGGAGAGAGAGGAAGAGAGAGAGAGAGAAACATCGATGTGAAAGGGACACATCGAGTGGCCGCCACCCGCACGACCAACCAGGGCCGGGGACAAACTGCAACTGAGGTACGTGCCCTTAGCGGGAACCGAACCCGGGTCTCTCTGGACCGCAGGCCGACACTCCAACCACTGAGCCAAACTGGCCAGGGCAGAATCATTTTTTTTTAAAGCAACCCATCTTACTCTCTTGCAAAAATGCTGAAGAGTTACCTGTTATGATATTTTCAACACAAATCGCACAGATGAGCACACTTCCGATTGCTGTTTGATAAAGATCATTAAATGTCGATTAAGGGCTCATGTCACCAAGTTCACGAACAGTCCTGGCTGTGATGGTATCCGCAGTCTAACGGGAGATGCGAGGAGAGAGATGCCCCTGAGGGCCGTTGGCCAAATGGGGTGGTTTCAGTATGCACAGCGGAGCCAGGGCAGGAGGAAGGACCTTACTGGGCTGGGACAGTGAGAGTGGATAGAGGTGGTGGCCAGGAGAAGCTTTCTGAAGATGCCACCTAAGCTGATGATGATGGGGTGGGGGGGTGACGATATGGCTAGTGACAGATACGTTTTTCTTTTCTTAATCCGTTTCAAGTGTGGTCTGAGCATTTTGCATAGATTATGTCTGAGCATATTGCATAGATAATATACAACGCAGCTTTATTAATTAGAGGAGGGAGTCATTCCCCTTTTACACATGGAGACATGGAATGCAGAGAGGTCACATGGTTGGCTCCCCACCAGTAAGGTCAACGCTAAGATTCTGACCTTGTCAGAGAACCAGGCACAGAACGCGATCACCAGGTAGGAAGGGCATTTCAGACAGGAAGACCTGTCACGGAACCAGGCGGCATGACTCATGCAGGGAACCGTGAGCAACGTGCTCTTTTGGGGGCTGGGAGATGCTGGTGGAGAAGGAGGTGGGAGCCCAGCCGTGACGGCCTTGTGGGCAGAGTCAGGAAGCTTTCACCCCGGGGAGGGCTTTTCAAAGGTCGTGTGACTCCTTGGAGCTGGGTGGACCCTTCCAAGTCCTGCTCGATGCAGGAGCCACATAGAGGTGTGCAGAACCCACACAATGTCTCTGGTTTCCCCAGGGTGCTCTCCTGCCTCCTTGTTCAGGACACAGCTCCTCCCACTGCATCTCCCCCAAGGGGGCACCCCCAGCCTCTGCCGCTCGGCAGATCCTGCCTTGTAGATGTTCGTCCTCCTACGTCCCAGCCCAGCTCGTCTCCTGTTCAGCGTGCGTCGCACAGCGTGGCTTGTGATTAACTAGTGTATTCTCCAGTTTCTATCAGGCCAAAGAAAAATTTAAAAAAGAACTGAAGATTGACGGATTTCTGTACAGTGACCTGTCTGTACTCGCCTCTGACACACCGTATTTCCCACCAGAGGAAGAGGAGGAGAATTTGGAAGACGGGATTCACCTGGTGGTCTGTGTCCATGGCCTGGACGGTGAGTTCCACTGTGGGCTCCTCCTCAGAATCCTGTGCCGTGAGCAGTTTGTGACATTTATGAATTAATTTGGGTCAGGCGTTCCTTCGACAAATGGCCAGCGAGCCCTTGTGGGATGGCAGTGAGTAGGTGGGGTTTGGGGAAATGGCATGGCCTTGACCCCAAGAATTGTGCGTGGCCCCCCAATCCATTCAGATAGTGAAGTACATGAATGAGTGAATGAATGAAGGCATGAATGAATGAATGAAGGCATGAATGAATAAATGAATGAATGAAGGCATGAATGAATGAATGGCATGAATGAATGAATGAAGGCATGAATGAGGGCATGAGTGGGGTGATGAATGGATGAATGGAACGGAGGCAGGAGGACATGGAACGTGCCCGGGCTGTGACCAGCAGCCTTCAGTTCAGTCCTCATTCCCCTGCTCCGGACGGTCCTGTGGAGCCGGTGGCACCCCGGCCCGCACACCTTCATGACTCCTGTTCCCAAAGGCGACTGTTACTCTATAGTAGATGACAACACCCTGCATGGCCTGTTTGGGGGACTCGTTGACTATATAAAGGTGGCAGAACTAGACAGACTTTGTATTAAACAGGAAATTTAAGAGGGGACCGGTAGAGGTCATGTTGTGTGTGTCATCCATTGAGTGGCGCCACCTGCAGAGTCCTGAGTGGACAGAACTGGCTGTGGAAGGGGAGGAGGAGGTGCGCCTCCCACCACCCTGTGTAGAAGGTTCTGTATGTCAGGGGGTCATTCTTCTGTGTCTACAGGTCAGGGGGTCATTCTACTGTGTCTACAGGTCAGGGGATCATTCTTGTGTGTCTACAGGTCAGGGGGTCATTCTTGTGTGTCTACGGGTCAGGGGATCATTCTTCTGTGTCTACAGGTCAGGGGTCATTCTTGTGTGTCTACAGGTCAGGGGGTCATTCTTGTGTGTCTACAGGTCAGGGGGTCATTCTTCTGTGTCTACAGGTCAGGGGGTCATTCTTGTGTGTCTACGGGTCAGGGTGTCATTCTTCTGTGTCTACGGGTCAGGGGGTCATTCTTCTGTGTCTACGGGTCAGGGGGTCATTCTACTGTGTCTACAGGTCAGGGGGTCATTCTTGTGTGTCTACGGGTCAGGGGGTCATTCTTGTGTGTCTACGGGTCAGGGTGTCATTCTTCTGTGTCTACGGGTCAGGGGGTCATTCTTCTGTGTCTACAGGTCAGGGGGTCATTCTACTGTGTCTACGGGTCAGGGGGTCATTCTACTGTGTCTACAGGTCAGGGGGTCATTCTACTGTGTCTACAGGTCAGGGGGTCATTCTTCTGTGTCTACGGGTCAGGGGGTCATTCTGTGTCTACAGGTCAGGGGGTCATTCTTGTGTGTCTACAGGTCAGGGGGTCATTCTACTGAGGTAGGGCTTGCAGAAAGGCCCTGACCCTGTGTGTGGGGGCTGGGGCGGCTGCCCGGGACCAGTTGTTTAGTTGTTTGTATCATCCGCTGAACACAACCACGGTCAGTGTGGAGACTTACATCCCTCGGCTGTCGGCTTCGAGAGGACTGACCAGGTGGGTTTCTCCATCGTTTTCAGGCAACAGTGCAGACCTCAGGCTGGTGAAGACTTTCATAGAACTGGGGCTCCCTGGCGGCAAACTGGACTTCCTCATGTCCGAGAAGAATCAGGTACGATGACAAAATGCGTCCGAGCTGAGACTCCCCGCATCAGGTCTTCCACGAACCTCCTGAGTTACCAGGACGGAGTGTGGCCGCGCCGATGAGAAGGATCTTGCCACACGCACTGGCCGGCCATGTAGAGGAAGTTACTCTCTCCTGGGAGGGTCAGGAAAGAGGAAGACGCGGGGACATGGGAATCGGGTGACGGACCTTTTGACCACGGCGGGCATCGGGGTGGGTGACAGCTCGGAGCACACATGCCTGGGGTGTTTGTGGGTCTGCCCTTGGGGCTGTCACTGGTGTCTGTGTGACCAGTGGAGCTGGGTACTGACCCTCTTACAGTCACCGATAAACTGGGGGGCCTTTGCCATTTCAAGGTCGGTGGAGTCTGGAGCCCTAGTGAGGGGTCAAAGTAGGTGAGAATTTAGAGGTTCAACGGCCAAGAGGTGGGGCTGGGTGGAGGGCTGTTGGTTCCCACCCGCGGGATCGGAGACGGAGGAAGGACACGTATTCTGTGGAGGCCCAGACTGCAGGGAACTAACGGGTCCCATGACCACTGACAGTGGGAACTGTCCAGAGTGGTCAACACGCCGACCTGGAAGGCCAGGTCCCATACCTCCCTGAGAGCGCTCAGTCTGCTGCCTTTTTTTGACACCTGCTACGTCCAAGGTCATGTCCATGCGGTGGGAAGAGGCGTGGAGGGCAGGAGAGGGAAGAGAGTCACCTGAGCACTGAACATGTGCTGCGCACTCTCTACCTGTCTCTGTTTGATCTTCACAAGCCTTCTATTAAGTGCTGACACCATTCTCTCCTTCGGTGGTCAGTCACCCCCTAACTGGGGAATCTTCAGGGTGTCAGTTTCTTCATCAGGGCCCCAATCTGTGAGTCCTGATTTCTTTCTTTCTCTTTCTTTCTTTCTCTTTCTTTCTTTCTTTCTTTCTTTCTTTCTTTCTTTCTTTCTTTCTTTCTTTCTTTCTTTCTTTCTTTCTGTCTCTCTCTCTCTCTCCTTTCTTTATTGATTTTAGTGAGACAGGAAGGGAGAGGGAGAGAGAGAGAGAAACATTGATGAGAGAGAACATCGATTGCCCGCCTCCTGCACGCCCCCCACTGGGGATGGGGCCCACAACCTGGGCATGTGCCCTGACTGGGAATGGAACCAGCGACCTCTTGGTGCAGGGTCGACGCTCAACCACTGAGCCACATCGGCCGAGCAAGCCGTTTTCTTGATGTTGAGTCCAATCCCCGACCCTAGCGTCAGGCTGAGACACACTCCCCGAAGGCACCAGGCGTGGGATGGAAGCAGCCAGCTTCATGGAAGAGCCTGGCTTTGCTATGACCCGCCTGCCCCCGTCTCCTCTCCCCTCTCGCAGATGGACACGTTTGCAGATTTCGACACCATGACGGATCGGTTGTTGGATGAGATCATTCAGCACATTCAACTCTACAACCTCTCCATATCCCGCATCAGGTAACGGGGAGACAGGCAGTCGGCGCCGGGAGGAGGGGATGCTGTGGGGCACTTGCCGTGTACAAGGTCACCCGGTCAGCGTGGTGCCTTCTGCACCCACTGGGACCAGCGGGCTTGTGACTTCGTGGCGTAGATGACGTTCAGAGTGGAAATGACACACCCTTGTCTGTCATAGTGTGTCTGCAGGAGAACAAGCCTTTGTAGCCCAGTAGAAAGAGACCTGGACTTGGTCAAATATCCCTCGGTTTGGATTTTTCTTCCTCTAACACCCACAAGTCCGAATCCCGACTCCTACCAGGGAAGCTCTCAAGCTCTTCCACCTCTGAGCCTGTGTGTTGTGGAGCCGGGCGGGGGGCACTGAGGTGGTGTGTTACGGAGCAGTGGTGGGCGGCCTGCCCCAGAAGGGGGTTCTGGTGGCTGCTAGTTGGCTCCCTGCACTGGTCCGATGACTTGCTTTAGCCGCACACACGACCCAGGTGGTAGGGAACAGCTGGCACCGGCGCTGCGGGCAGAGCGGTGCCCCCTGCGTCGCCACCTCGTCCTCGTTCCCAGAGGCCCCCGGAGGTTAGGAGGGAACCACAGGCTGCAATGGGAAGGTTGGAGGGGTCCCTTTGATATAACAGGGTTTCCATCATAATTACTTGACTGGAAAATGATGCTGTGTTGGATCCATAGATCTGTGAGCACAGGAGGACCAGAGCGGAGTCTGGGGGAGGGGCGTACCCCTGTGTGGGCGGACAGCAGGCAGTGGATGAGGGCAGAAGGGGGGTGCATAATGAAGGAACGAAACCAGAGGGGGTCACACGTCAGGTCGGAATGGCCGCAGAAGGAGATGGGATTGTGTCCTGTGGATGACCAGGAGGATGAACTGCTCAGAGAGGACTCCCAGGTGGACCAAGAGAAGACATGGAGACCGGGCGGGGGAGGGAGCTGCTCTCATAATATAAGGCTGAGCAGGGCGCCCCCAAGTCTCTTCTGACCACACGGGCACAGGAGCTCCCGTTCACGGAGACCTGTCTCAAGCCTGCCACCACCAGACTTTGGATCCTGCCGGGGATGCAAACCCGTTCTCTCGGCCAGGGCCCCTCAGTCTGGTGGGGGGTGGGGGCGCTGACCCCGGCCCGCAGCGCGGCTGCTCGGGCCGCTGGCCTGCCGACACCGTGTCGTGTCTCCAAACAGCTTCATCGGCCATTCTCTCGGCAACATCATCATCCGATCGGTCCTGACGAGGCCCCGGTTCCGGTATTACCTCAGCAAACTTCACACGTTCCTGTCGCTGTCCGGGCCTCACCTGGGGACCCTGTACAACAGCAGCACCCTGGTCAGCACAGGTGAGACATGCCCGAGCCTGCCACTCGGTTCATGGGGCAGAGGGGAGGGGAGCCGGTGGAGCGGGGTCCTGACTGTGCCCTCTCCCGGCCTGGAGGGTGGACAGACCCCTGGGCTTAGCTGTGTGCCGGGGGGGGGGGGGGGTCAGATGTTTCCCTGCTTCTGGGAACAGGACAGTGACGTCCTGGGTGCCGCCAGGGGAGGCTGCGGGGCTGACAGTGTGGACAGAGCAGGGGTCTGTGTCTGGGCTGCTGTAGCCGCTGCCACAGACCTTGTAAACGGCAGACGCTTGTCTCTCATAGTCCAGAGGCTAGGAGTCCGCGGTCCAGTCCCCCCGATACACTTCCAGTGAGGTTCCGGGCTCACAGATGGCCATCCTCTTGCCATGCGGCAGGGGAAGGGGGCTCTCTGAAGGCGCTAATCCCACTCAGGAGGGCCCCACCCTCACGACCTGACCTCCTCCAAATACCACCGCGTGGAGGGCTCGTGTCCGGCCTGGGAGCGTCGGCGATGCAAACATCCGTCGGTAGCTCTCGGCCAGGCCTCTGACGGCCTCGGCTCCGAGCCTTCGCTCTCGTGAGATGCCTGCGGGAAGCTGTGCCCAGACTGTGTGACTCCGGCTGGGACTCCCGTCTCTGTGCTCCTTAGTCTCCTTACTTTTAAGATGACGCTAATGTGTGTGTCTATATGTACGTCTGTGTATCTGCGTGGCTACATGTCTGACGTACACGTGTGTGTATATGCAGTGTGTGTGTGTGCAGTGTGCGGTGCGTGTGTGTGTATGCGGTGTGCATGTGTGTGCGTGCAGTGTGTGTGTATGTGTGTGCAGTGTGTGTGTATATGCGGTGTGTGTATATGCAGTGTGAGTGTGCAGTGTGTGTGTGTATGCGAGGTGTGTGTGTGCGTGTGTGTGTATGCGGGGTGTGTGTGTATGCGGGGTGCAGTGTGTGTGTATGCGGTGTGTGTGTGCGTGCAGTGTGTGTATGCAGTGTGCATGTATGTATGTGGTGTGCGTGTGTGTACAGTGTGTGCATGTGTGTGCTGTGTGTGTGTGCGGTGTGTGTGTATGTGGTGTGTGTGTGTGCATGTATATGCAGTGTGTGTATATGCGGTGTGCTTATGTGTGGTGCATGTGTGCAGTGTGTGTGTGTGTGCGATGTGCGCGTATATGCGGTGTGCGTGTGTGTGTGTGTGGTGCGTGTGTGTATGCGGTGTACGTGTGTGTGTGAAGTCGCTAAGGATGGGAGGGGAAGGATTCGGACGTTAACTGGCCCGTACGGAAGGTCAGCTGTGGGACTTCCTTCCTTCTTGCCCGAGTGTGAGGACCCAGCTCCCAGCTCTGAGGTTCTGACAGGTCCTCCAGCTGCCAGGGACTGTCACAATCACGGACAGAGAAGCAAGGCTCAGGGAGTCTCGGGAGATGAGCCACATGCCCAGGACAGCGAGTGGCAGGACAGACTTTCTGCACATGACCCAGCCTGTGCAGTGACACAGAGGCGTCAGGTGACCAGCTGCAGGTGGTTCTTTGAGACAGAAGTGCCATGGGGTGGCCTGGCGGGCAGGAGATGCCGTGGAGCTCGAACCCGGAGCCTGGTGATGTGACGGGTGTCCGACAAATCCTGAGGACACACGCACACCCCCATGGGCGGCAGCCCTGGAAGTGGGGGGTCTGGTGTGCACCAGCCCGAGCCGGCAGCTGGCCTGTGCAGAATCCTAAGTAGTTTATTAAATCGCATTCCCATGAAGGCTCAGCAGCCCCCAGGGGCACAGCCCACTCCCCGACATCTGGGGTCACGTCTCACACACCGACCCTCGGGGCCCAGCCGCCAGCCCGGCCTGTGTCCGAGGCTGCCCCGCGGTCAGGGAAGCGGGGCCGCGGGCTCTGCTCCCAGGAGGCAGGGTGGGTGGTCTAGTATGTTATTTTCAGGACCTTTTTTGTGAACGTGAGTTATTCGGAAGTCTTTCCCTCTGTCCCTTGGTCTGTCCTCACAAATCAGGGATGCCGTCTCTGGACTAAAACAAATGACTCCAACGGCATTGACTGTTCTTGCGCAGTTACAGCGTCATCTTGCAACACCCTGGAGCGTTTGAAAGGAGACACATGTAACGCTTCCGGGCAGCGCCTGAGTCGTTCCGTGTGGTTCATTGTACTGGGTGCACGCGCGCATTTACGCGGCAGCGGTGAACACACGTGCGCACATCGCGTCTTGCTTGTTTCCTTCCGTGTTCATAGAAGCGTGTGGTTGTGACAGTACTCGTCGGCTAGTGTGGGCGTCCCCACAGGGAAACGGATGGGCTCGAGGCGAGAGGTCCGCTCTCCCTGCCCCACACCCTCACCGATGTGCGAGCAGCGCTCTTGATGCGTGTTTGCGTGCGGATGTTTCTGGCCGGGACTGTGGAAGCAGACGGAGCAGGCAGGAGAGCACAGTGGAGGTCGGGCTCCTGACGCCTGCGGCCACATCCCTTGCGGCACCATCTGTTTCTGCCCCCAGTGCGGAAGGAACAGATGTGCCCAGCTGGTCAGTGCCCACGAACACGCCTGCCACCCTCTTCTTGTGAAGTGAACCCAAACTCACGGTTGGAGTTGCTCCCCCGTTATTTTCTGCTTCCTTCGTTTTACGGGCTTGGTTTCGGTTTCGGTTCGGTTTTCCCAGGCCTGTGGCTCATGCAGAAATTGAAGAAGTCTGGCTCCCTCCTGCAGCTGACCTTCAGGGATAACACTGACCTTCGCAAGTGTTTCCTCTACCAACTCAGCCAGAAGACGGGTGAGTGGCTTCCCCTGCGTGGGGCATCCTGCGTGGGAGCTGCAGATCCGCGCTGTGGCCCAAACTGGCGTCAACGCTGCGTGGATTCACTCACGGAGGGTTTGGTCGGGAGGATCCGCCTTTAACTCACTGGAGGCCCACAGCTACCCCAGAACCCAGCCGCCCCGGCCTGCTCCCCAGTGGCGTGGGGAACGCAGCACAGAGGGGAGCCAGAGTGTGTGGGGGGGAATCTCTACAGGAGATCTGGAGCCTCTGATGCCCTCCACTCCTTCAGTCTCCTGATACACAGGCTGGAAGTCCAGGGGCCAACCCACAGCTCCTTCACCCAGGTGCAGAGCCCCGTCCAAAAGGGGGACTAGCAGCTGTCTGTGCTGACAGTGCAGGGGGGCTGGGTCCTCTCCAGGCGGCCCGAGACCTCCCCCTCCCCCAGGCTGCACTGAGGAAGGGCGCAGAGGTGCAGAAGCCTCCCCCTCCCCCGTCTGGGAGGAGCAGAGGGCCGCAGAGGTGAGGAGGAGGAGGAGGAGAGAAACAGGGCCTGCCTTCCCGGGGGACGCCCCAGGGCTCCCGGCCTCCTGGCCCAGGAAAGCGTTGCTGTCCTGTTCGTTCGCCTTGCTTGTCCCCTGCCCAGAGTAGTGCCCTGTGTCACCTCGGCTTCCCTGCCCGATGTGCACACAAGGCCCAGAGTGGCACATTCCTTTCTGGGCCCCCAGCCGAGGGTCCTTCCGCACCGCCCTCTGGGCCGGGTGAGCAGCGTGCACAGCAGAGGGCGCTCGCGGGCCGCCCCGGTAACAAGCGCCCCGGGCTTGTTGCAGGTCTGCAGTATTTCAAAAACGTCGTGCTGGTGGCCTCGCCCCAAGACCGCTACGTGCCGTTTCACTCCGCCAGGATCGAGATGTGCAAGACCGCCCTCAAGGACAGGCACACGGGTGAGCCGACTTCCACCGCCGGGTTTGAGAGCGAGGCCTCGTCGGGCACCGCCCACGATCGGCCCAGGGGAGGGACCCGCGCCCCGGGCTCCTCTCCAGGTTCCTCCGCTGAGTTGGGTTACGTCCCCCCCTCCCTGCCCCCGCAGGGCCCGTGTACGCGGAGATGATCAACAACCTGCTGAGCCCGCTGCTGGGCGCCAAGGACTGCACGCTCGTCCGCCACAACGTGTTCCACGCGCTGCCCAACACGGCCAACGCGCTCATCGGCCGCGCCGCCCACATCGCCGTGCTGGACTCCGAGCTCTTCCTGGAGAAGTTCTTCCTGGTGGTGGGGCTCAACTACTTCAAGTAGTGGCCGTGGGGCTCGCCAGGCACCCCGAAGCCCCGGAGAGCTAGCGGAGTCACCCTTTGTCCTCCGCCGGGCCAGGGTGGAGCGCAGAGGGGAAGGCGGGAGGGACGCGGGGCGGGGCCAGACATTCGAGGGGTTCCCCTTTCGGAAGTTGGGGAAGCCCCACCCCCAGCGTTAAGGACATCAGACTTTGCCTGGACCTGTCTAGCCCCCTGGAGTCTCATCCAAGATGCTCTCTAGGGAAAATACGAGAAAAATAAAGCAACAGCACTTGGAGACCCCACCTTTGTAACCTGCAGTGGGTGACGGAGAGCCCTCCAATTCAACTCGGTGTGTCCAGTGTGTTGCTAGCTCATGGCTTTACCATCTGGATGAAATCAAGTGCACACAAGCGTCTCAGAACTCAGGTTAACCTCCGTGCAGAGGGAACATGTCGGTGTAAATAGAATCCATAGACTCCCGTTCTCATCCCCCCTCGTATTTTCTCCGCAAGGGGCCTCGGAGTGCTTGGGAAACTCCACGTGCAGTGGGCGGGGCGGGGAAGGTGTGCAGGGCGCAGGGGGACGCCACAGAGGAAACTGGAGAGACCGTGAACGGGTCCCCTCCCCTGCTGCTCCGGCTCCTTCTCTGCCGAGCTCTGGCCCGTAGGTTCCCTCTGCGATTGCTCAGCTCTGTCTGTGGTGGGCACACTGACTCCGACTAGTGCCAGCAGGAGGGGGCACTTCCGTTCGTGCACACCTGTGTGACACCCCCACCCGTCTACTTCCAAAGAAACGCTGTGTTAGCTTCTGATGCACCTGGGAACCATGGAAACCGTGGCCAGCTGCCCTCCTGTCCGTGGAGGGGAGGGCGTCCAGGTGGAGAGAGAGCTGGGCTGAAATCTCAGGGGAGTTCTAAGAAGGGTGCTGGGTATCTTCAATAGAAATGTCATCTTGCCTTAGGGAAATAAAGGGCTAGGAAGGACACCATCGATTGAAAAAAACATGGGAGCAGGAACAAAAGGAGGTCAGAGAGACCACAGTTAGGTGGAGGACTCACCGTAAGTCGTTGGTAAGTGGCTTAAGAAGTTTAGAAACGTATCAGGATGTTGAAGGTGACCTCCAAGGCTGAGGACACTATGGGCTCAAGGAAGCCTGGAGCATCATTCGGTGGCAGGAGGGACACATGGATCGGCAGGGACAAGTAACGCTAGAGACCCTTGTTCTGAGGTGTGAGAGCAGATAGGGAACCTTGAGAATGTCATCATCTCCTTTCTGGCTTCTGCAAAACTCCCTCACAAAGTGTGGAAACAGGTCCCTCCTCAGCCCCTGGACCGTGACCTTAGGTCACCAACGCCATCTTGGCTCATCTGAGAATTTTAATTCCTCACGTTAGCCACGTGGCTTTGGGAAATGCAGATGTCCAGGGAGGCGACTTTGCAGGAGAGTAGACATGGATTTCTGAAGAAAGCGAAGGGGCAGGAGTCTGATGGTCCGCAGAAGCCACATCCATGGGGGAATGTGCGGCTTCTCTGTGGGTCTGGTTCCAGCTCTCACTGTCCCAGTTCCTCACATGTCGGGGCTCAGGAAGCCCTTTGGGCACTTTCCCACTGAAGATTTTTCCAAGTTCCCGGTGGGCATGGACTCCGTACCCATGGACAGTGCCAGTCCACAGGGTCCGAGGAGGACTGGTCCCTGCAGAGCCGCTCATGGCGCTGTGTGTCTGGCGGAGGAGCCCTGCCCCCGATGTGTGTGGTTCATTGTGAGTTTCCACTTCCCGTCGGAGAGGTGGTCCTTCCCTGGTCATTGGAAAGACAGTGGTGGAGCAGGTGGTTACGGAGCCAGGGTGAGTCCGGTGACCATTGTCTTTTCCAAAAACCAGATGCCATTTTTAACTTCAATATGCTGTCTGGACATAGTGTGAACTCACGGCAATAAACGTCCAGCTGCATGGTGCACCTCTTTTTTATGGGGGTGCTCTGCTGTCTTTGTAAACCCCCTCTGGCCTCTGGGCATCTGTTATCACTGTCGAAAGTACATCTCTATATTGTAAATAAGCGCGTCAAGTGGTACGTGTCATGCCTCATTTGAAAAGGATTTTTTATGTCTCTTTCTATTGAAGTATAGATATCTAATATATATATACACACACACATATATAATATATATATAAATATATAATGTAAAGCAGGGACATTCTATTATTTATGATAAAAATTATAAACAAAATGCCTGCCAAGATAATGGTCTAGTATGTCTTCATTCTCAGTATTGTTTTTGTTTTTTTGTTTGTTTGTTTGTGTGATGTTACGTTTCTCAGAATTGCTTAGAAATAAAAATTGCTGATACTGAGATGAATTGAAATGTGCTGTTCAGGAGCCAAATACATTCAGAGAAGCGGGCGTGGACCTGAAGTCACCTTGGGCAAACCAAGTCCCTTAGCGGCAGGTTGGACGCAGCTGGAGAGCTGTGTGCCTGGGGAGGAGGAGGGACCCGTCCTCTAATTCCACACCACAGTGTCTTCCTCTGCGTGCCTGCAGGTCCCCCTCTCGTGAATATGTCTCCTCGAGAGCAGGACCGTGTTGAGTGTATCGGTATGTCCCTGCGGGGCTCAGCAGGTATTTGCTGAGCACAGCCAGTCCTTTGAAATCTGCTGGTTTCTTCTCCAGCTGCCCAGCCAAACCCCAGCAACTGCTTCTGTTGCAGAAAAGGTGCCCGTGGTCCCTGCTCACCCTCCAGGCCTCCAGTTGGCAGGCGGAGAGCAGTGTTGAGGGAGAAGATAATCCCAGTGGCGAGTGTCTGTAACGGGCCGGGCCCTCTGTCTGGGGGGCTTGCTTTCAAGTCATGGCGTTGGGCCAGGTTCCCTCATCTATACAACAGGTTTGAAAATACCTACTTTGAAAGGGCAGCTGGGGCACATGGCCGAGAAGGGGAAGCAGAGTCTGGGCCATTGCCTGCAGAGAGGAGGTGTTCTAAAATTTGGGGAGGCACCCTAGGAATATCTTATCGTGAGAGGTTGGCTATAGGAACATTTCTTTATAATGAATTAAGAAAAATTTCAATAAATCCCATGAAAAATACATACATACATATTAACCCTTGAAAAGGACAGTTTGCATGGCCTCGAGGTGATTGCTACGCGATGGCCTTGAGGAGGTCACCTCTTTGGGACTTTAGGCTTGAGCTTCCAGAACTCGGAACACCTTATTATGAATCCAGGAGGCTGTGCACTCGAACCATGTGGTGGAACAATCTCCTGCTCAGGGTACAGTGGCTGTCATCTGGCTGAGAGGTGAGGACCGGCTGACACCGCACAGCGGCCGAGAGCAATGGGACATCTGATTTCAGGGGGCTGGAAGTCTGAACTCTATATCTCAAAGCATCGTTTGACTGCAACACACTGAAAACACTTTTTCAACTAGGGCTGAGAAGGTTAAACACATTGCCTATGACAAAATACCCTGCTTCATAGTTCCTGGCTCCGAGGAAGCTGAATAATAATCCGGGTACGTCCAATAGCCTATGTGTAAGTCTTGGCTAGGTTTGCATTTGTTATTATTACTATTATTTCCTTCAAAGGCAGCACTTCCTTCTGTCCCGTACTGTCTGGAACAGAAGCAGGGTGACATCTTCTCTGCCGGAACGCAGGACGAGAGCCTGGGACTTTGCCATCCCGATGTCCCCACACCCTGCACTTGAAAGCATGTCTCTTCAAACCCTTTATTTCCTCTCTGCCTGGTTCTGGGCTAAGCTCCAGCGGCTATAGAAATCCATCGATGGGGGACCCTGCGCTTCAGGAATGTGTCCTCTAGGGGGAGCAGGCGCTCATCAGACTAGGAGAAGGTTCACATGATAGAAGCATGAGACAAGGGAACAGTGGGAAACAATGAGAATGTCATCATGTCATCATCCCAGAACCCTTTCAGGCAAACCACCCTCCTGCTATGGGGGTTCTGCACCCCTCAGGGTCTGGAAGCAAAAAACTGCCCAGATGAGATGCCACATGGACAACAGCTGTGCCACTCACGTTGGACTTCAGAGCTTCTTTGAATCTACCACCCGGATCAGCGTCGATTAGGAAAGTGGCCAAAGGAGAAGCTGGGCAGGGCAGATTCCAGCCCAGTGGCTCAGGGAGCAGCTGTCCTCCTGGGCGGCACAGCGCTTGCTCGTGGTACAAAGGCTCAGGGCGCTCTGTGACTTCCCTACGTCCCTTCCAATGAAGGGGCAGAAGTAGGCGGTGGAGGAAGGACTTCAGGGTGTCCGTTAGCCACACTCGGGCTTGACCGGGAGACCTAGGCTGTGGCTTCTGTCGATTGATCCCGCAGTGCAGAGCTCTGGGATTTATTTCATTTTATTGCTTTATTTTATTTTATATTACTTCTTGTTTTCAGATGTGACCTGCTACCTTGTAGAAGGGAAAGTGAGGCAGGGTCTTTGGCCCGGGCCCTTTCTCTGAAAAGGAACCTGGGTGTATAGCTGACGCCACTGGGAATCCCTAGCCTGTCTTCATTCGGTGACCACATCTGTGTACGATAACTACAGTCTCCCACACACCCTTGCACACCGTCTGCACCGCGAAAGCCACAGCCAAGGCGTTAGTGCGAGCATCATTCCTATTTTCCTGATTGGCTCTTGGGTTGGCGTTTTTTGTAGCTCCTGATGTGTATGAGTGATAAACAGCAACGCGCATAATAAGAAAACATTTTGACTTTCTTTTTCCAGGACTTTGTGTTTGTGGAATGCACAGTAAACGCTCTCTAGGAACGCGGGTAGGGCTGAGGCCTCCCTTCTGCGTTTGCGGTGGTGATTTCTGGGGCACTCACTGTGGGAAGGGCCTAGGGCATCCTGGCTGGCTGAGCAGAGGAGAGAGGGAACTCAAACTGGACTCTAGGAGGGCACTGCCTGTGCCCTAATGCATGTGGGACTTAAATACCAACGTGATGAATGAATGACTATTTGACTCACAGCAGGTGCTAAATGGACATCCTTATCAACACATTCTAAAGCCAGAAGCCTTTCTGCTGC